TGTGTTATTTCAGTGTTTCCTTTCCTCATAGTTTCTAGAGATCATAATATTTAGACTTTTGAATGATAAATATCAATTTTGAAAAGCAGTAAGTGGAAAAATGTGTTTAAGAATGTGAGATTGACTACTTCAATTTTGTGAGAATTTCTAGAATAATTGCCACACTATTCAACTAAATTATGTTCAGTTTGACATTTACTTTGATAGTAAGTGAACCAGTCTTCTGGTAATTCTTATTCTTGCTTAACATTACATTAAAAAAGTCAAGTAATCGAATGTGACCATATCCTAAAATCTTTTTTTTTGCTGTGACCAAATGTATTATTCAATAAATGTCAGTAAGTGTAAATATGTCACAAATGCACACACACAAGCTCACACATATGTACATGCACTGAGATAAACAGAAATACACACAGAGAGACACGCAGACACATGATGAATGTTTTGTAAATTGAAATTGTTCATCATAACCTCTTTTTCTATATTGAATATCACAAGATGATGATGTTCATGGATAATACCAATTAGTATGGACTGTTTTTGCACACGTATACAATTACACACCAAATATCACCATGGTATGATACGAAAGTTTTATGTTTTTGGGAAATGAATTTTATGATTTGGGATCTAGTTGAAAAGAGGAGGAATGCCCCACAGAGTGCTCCCACAAGTCTTGACTAAAAAGAATTCAGATAAAAGGGAAAATATCTATAATTAGTATTCATAATCATATTTGAAGGGTTAAACTTCTGTGTACAGGAATACCTTTGCACATATATGTCATATCATAGTTTAAAAGAGAAGACTTCTAGAGGCAGGGACAATATTAATGTTTAGCAAGCAGCTCTTAAACGAAATGAAATATGAATGACACCGAGTTTTGAAATATTTCCTGTAATATTACAGATGAAGGAGACAATGTATTTAAAGCCGTGGTTATAACCAAAGATTTCCTTGTATTTAGCAGTAATAATGTGGATAGAGATAGAATGGAAACACACCTGCTTTTTTCTCTTGATAAGTATGATAGTGAGTTCTCTAAAATAGTAATGACATTATCACTCTGAAAGTGATGATTAGGCCAGATTCAACCCCAAGTACTGTATCATTGGATTTACAAACTGCTGTCCATTAGCTGACAATCCAGTTGTTGGTTGTATAGACAAACTCTTATATTGCATTGTAAATTAAGTAGCACAGACTTTGAAAACTGAAAGTGATGGTAGAGGATATTAAAAATATCCATGGTCATGTTTCATTACTGCAATAAAGGATTAAGTATAATATTTCAATGTTCAGACCATTTTGAATGTCATAGGATCACATAGGTAGAAAACTGAAACATAAATTCTAGAGTATATAATCAAGAGAAATGGGAAAGTTACATTGACAAGCATTCATACATTGTTCTGTTTTTGAAAGTGGATAGGATCCAGATGAGTAAAGTCTCTAGAAAGTATTCTTGTATTCTGATTCACCATGAAACACTGGAAAGTAATGGCATACCACTATTTAGACTTCATTAAATGTGTTCATGGATCTTGGGGAAAATAAATATTGACAGTATTGACCAATCAGGGTAGATGGATTTGGAGAATTTGTTATTTTTCATATATATCATATATATATATATATATATATATGCTACATATCTATATCTCAATTGATATACAATAATGTCCTTGAGTAGATTATGTCTATTCATATGTTACATTTCAGTTATTTCTAGCAATAAACATTGCAGGCCTGTTCTTATATTCTCATAACAAATCTATCTCTTCTTATCCATCTCAATCATGTTCTTTTACAGATATTTGTCCTATGACCTACTACTGTCATTAAGTACAAACAGAAACCAGGCCCATCCATCTTGATATCGGACTGGATTTGTGCAAAGTCCATAAAAACAATTATGTGACAAAGAATTAATGAGCTTAAAATTAGGCAATTTTAAGCAAAAATATTATTTGTCTTTAAAGCTGAAAATCTTACAGTAACAAAATGAAAGATAGAATATTTATATTTATAATGCAGTATGGAGGACTTTCATGTCATTCAGAATTGTTATTAATTTTATATTGCAAAATATTTTATTAAGAAAATGTGTCACATGTTTTGAAATTTTTGCTTTACCTCTTCTGATTGAAGAGCATTGCTTGTCACAAATACGATATAAGCATTTAGTTATTTTCAATGTATTCTTTGAGAAATCTCAATCCAATTATTCACTTGGGGGCACACAATGTCAGTATTTCTTGTAGAATGCAAAGTATAAGAAATTGTTATTTCTAGGAAAGGAACAGTTTTTGCAAATCACTTCTCTATACAATTTATCACTACATTTAATTTTGTATTCATATACTCTAAATGGTGAAATCTTAACTGTCAGCTCAAACATGTGTTAATTTTTCTCTTTCCTGTTTGCACAGTTAACAGCAGATTGAGAAATATGCACCATATCATCTTGACCATGGAATCAGTATTGCCTGTAATCCATCTTTTCTGTATAAATGAATTTTCCCCACTCCTGAGGTCCCCACTGACCTCAATTTTCTGGCTTGCATTTTCTTCCACTTCTTATTATCTATGAGCCACACTTCCCTTTTTTATGATTAAATAAATTGATTCAAGATGCAATAAAGACATGTTGAAATGGAACTCATTTAAAAGCACACAGATATTCACTGAGATAATTAGAAATATCGCTCACTCATGAAACAAATGATTAATGTTTTAACACCAACTTAATGTAATAACTGAAAAAGTTAGGAATAGTGGAGATCCATTGATAAGTACACAACAGAAAAGAATTTTAGGTTGTGCTTCAAATTTACTTTCCTCTTTACTTTTTTTTGGTTAATAGTTCTAACACACTAACAGCTTCTGGATAACCAACTCTTTGCTTCTGCCTCCATGTTCCATATTATTTAAAAGACAGGCAGAAATCTGTTTGCAAAGTTCATCTGAGATTATCAAACAAATCAGGATATTTTTAAATTTTAAACATAAGAGTCATTAATCTCTGAAGAATAGAATAGAATAAATTCATGAAAATGATATTGTATACCTAAGAAGCCCTGCAAATATGACTTCATAGATTTATTGGAATCTGTAAGTGATTGTGTCTGTGTTTCTTTGTGTATTGAGTGAGAGGAGATAGAGAGAGAAATAAAAAGCCCAAATGCATTATTTTAGTGTTCCTAACATGTATTCATGTTTAGTGATGGCTCTCAGTCTTCAATTACTTAGAAATGGTACCATTGTAGAGGCAAAACTTATAGGACTACTTATTTTATTATCAAATTTTGCTATCTAAGCTGCTAAGTGTTCTGATGCCATAGAAGTTTTAAAGAACGGCATTCATAAAAGGAACATCACAATCCTAGAGGCAAAAAATATTTAATAGTATAACATAAAAGGAATACATGCCCATTTGAAGATAATCACCATTGTGATTAAGGTGGCTTTAGGTCAGGGTACAGGAATTGTTCAACAAACTCCATTATATGAATATAAAATGTAATTAAGTCCACAAAGCAGATGATAAACTCAATAGATCAAGAAAAAGCCTGTGAAAAAATACACCATGTCTTCAAGGTAAAATTCACACAGAAAGTAGGAATGGAGGAATATTATTTCAAAATACTAAAGTATATCTCTCCCAAAAAAATATGGTCGGAGCAATACTATGTGTAGAAAAACTACAAGAGAACCTAAGACAATTTTGAAGAAGCCTAGATACCCACTATTCTTACTCATTTACTGTGTTGTAACAGAGAAATGGCACTAATATATGAAGTGAAACAAATTTAAAGCACGTAAATATGAATAGATAAATTTAATTAATTCCTATTTTCAGATGAAATGGTATTATACATAGGACATCCCCATATTATACCAGGACACATGACGTACAGGCAACAATTTCAGGAAAATGACAAAAGTCACCTTATAAAAATCAACATCCTTTTTATATGCAAACAACGAAACAACTGAGAAAGATATAATCAGAATAACACAAAAGAGAAAATGTCCAACTTAATGATACTATGCAATCTAGAAAAATATTATTTATAGAAATAAAAAAAACATCCTTAATTTCATATGCTACCAGCAGTATTTCTGGATACTAAGAGCAATTATGAGCTTAAAGTTAAATGTGGAGCTATTGCCATTTTAGTGTACAAGATAATTTATAGAGCTAGAGTGATAAAAGCTTATCTAACTACGCAGGGCTACTGAAGATTTTTTATCAGGTTCCACATGGGGACAAGGAGCAGGTGAGAGAAAGAGTGGCCCAGAACGTGGTGTCGGCTGCAAATTGACTAAGTAGCAATAAGAATTCTTCTTTACATATAAAGAATTCGGTTAGCAGTGATAGATTCATATCATTCCAAAACATAAATCATAGAATATTTTTTTGCTGACATGTGTTTCTTAAAGACATGTTTCTTGCACATCTGGGGGCATAAGTTTAGTCATCATTGATAAACAGTGACAAAACCAAGTTAACTTTTGTAACCATTTTCATGCAAGTTTAGTCAACAGAGTAATCTTTTCCAATCATTTTCACTAATCAACCCTATATCCCATTTTTTAATACTCTAAAGGCATATGACAGCTTGCTCTCAGGCTGGCAGTTCTTATGTTTAAAAGATGCCAAGCAGAAAAAAAAAACCTCCTTAACAGCCAAGGCAGTTTAGCCTGTCTCAGGCAGTGTACTGTTAACTCTTAATGGCCAGGGTTTCCAAGAAAATCCTCAGACAAAAGCTTTTGAAATTATTAATTAAATATTGACATAATAATATTTTTATCTTTATTGAATTTGTTGATATGGCTATTTCTGTTATTATTTTGCTCCTTGATCTTATGATACCACAATGGCTCTGTATGCACTAACTTTTCTAAGAAAGGGAGATTCTGACATCTTCTTTTATCATTCTTCCATACAATTATTTTCCCATCAATATAAGACAGATGTATCTTCAGCTAATCTAACTTTGTTGCTGCATATGCAAA